ACAGTAAGAAGCCCATCTCATCTTTCTGTCAATGAAGATAACAACAATGCCCTCACCTCATCATCAAAATTGGTGCCAACTGAATACAATTGACTCATCACAATATTCAAGTTATTTAGGTTTTCCCCATTGGGGTGTTGTCCAACATCTTTATATTGAATAACTTTTTCATCATGAACACTTTGTTTGAGGCCGATGTCTTCTCATTCATCTTAGTCAGTGCAACCATGGGATAAATTGTAGTCTTCTCATTTACAATGTTGATTGCAACATATGATGAAAGTGAAAGTTATAACAAACATAGTGCAGTCCGGTCAAGAACCTCCTATTCCTCCATAGTTATAGAATCCAACTTCTTGGTGATTCTTTCCAATGACAATTACAACTTTTGATACAACAAATCTTCAATTTTCTTCCTTCAGAATGCGAAGTTCGAATTGTTAAACTTTTCAATCTTGTACATTGCTTCATCTGCCATTTCTCTCACTCGAACTGAACAACCATGTTATGCTACCAATTGTTGGGGATGATGAGTAAACATCACAATGATGAAACAAACGAGAAAGTAAAAACAATATAAAAATAAAGGACACCAGGATTTAATGTGAAAAAACTCAGAATAGGGAAAAATCCATGGAGCCACACCACACTAAGAAATTCACGGTAAAAATTGGGAGAAATAAGTACAAATTTCTCTTCGCTTTCACTCTCATTGCTTTTATTCTCACATGTACCGTTTTCAATGTCTTACATAACTAAAAATACAAGAGAAAGCCAAGTAAATAACCCCAAGGGATGCAACCTTTCTGAAAAATGAAAAAGAAAATCATCTAGTCCGTCTCGCAGCGTTGTAGTGCTGGTTTAGAGCGCTACAGCGCTCAAACCTCTATCTTGATCCGCTACGGCGCCATATGTAGACCGTTGTGGGGCTCCACTCTCTATCGTTCAGCGGCTGGGCTCTCAACAACACAGTGCCGGGGCGCTTGAGTATGCAGTGCCGGGACACTTGAGTACACAGCGCTGGGGAGTTGTACAAATTTTTTTTCCCCAGGGATTACCCTCTCCCACCCCCAGCAAGCATGAAAAACTTGAGGTCTGAGGCAACAGAACATCCTGATTGATCAACACAATCATATTCCACACATAACATAGGTTACGATGTGATGCTAAAGTTTTTCAAAATCAATTTGGATTAATGCCGGATGGGTCTACTATGGAAGCTATATACTAATAGGTTTGATGGAGAAGTATAGAGAGAATAAAAAAAAGATCTACATATGATATTTATTGATTTTGAGAAAGCATATGATAAAGTTACGAGATAAATACTCTAGAGGGTTCTAGAAAAGAAAGGAGTTAATAATGCTTAAATTCAAGTCATTAAAGATATGTATGTAGGAGCTGTCACTTATATTCAAACTCAAGGTGGTTTGACCACGTATTTTTTATTTTAGTTGTATTACATTAAGGACCAGCTTTAAGCTTATATCTTTTTGTTTTAATCATGGATGTTCTTATTAGCTATTTACAACATGATGCTTTCTTGTGTATGCTTTTTGCTAATGCTATTCTTCTTGTTGATTAGACAAGAGAGTTGAGTTGAAGGAAAACTTGAATTATGAAGGTCAACTTTAAGAGTCTAAAGGTTTTTATTGGAGTAGATCTAAAACTGAATACATGAAATATAATTTTAGTAGTAATAAATCTAGTGAGGGATTGTGACTTTGGACAATCAAGTCATTAATAAGAGTGAACGTTTTAGATATCTTGAGTCTATTATTCAAAGTGATGGTGAAATATATGAGGATATTATTAGTAAAATTCGCGTTGGATGGTTGAAGTGGAGAAATACATCGGGCCTATTGTGTGATAGAAAAATACCCCTCAAACTTAAGTGAAAATTCTTTAAGATGGTGGTGAGACCTGCAATGCTTTATGGCACAGAATGTTGTCCATTAAAATACTATTAAAATACAAGCAGACAATTAAGTGTTGTAGAGATGAGGATGCTCAGGTGGATGAGTGGCTTTACTTTTAGAGATTATGCGAAACAAGTATGTATGTGAAAAGATTGGAGTAGCTCTAGTGGAAGATAAGACTAGGGAGAGTCGCCTTAGATGGTTTGGGCACATAAAATGTCGGCCTTCCCATGATCTGATTAGGAGAGTGGATGTATTTGATTTAGCCTATGCTAAGAAATGTAGATGTGTAGCTAAAAAGACCTAGCTAGAAATTATATTTTTTTGTTAAATTTAAATGAGAATTTGACTCTTAACAAGACACAATGAAGAAAAAAGATTCATGTAGTCGAATCCACATAGTAGGATAAAGGCTTGATGTTGTTGTTAAATCTATTTTGTGCAAATCTTTTTGAACAACTTATATCTATGTAATCTTAGTTCTACCATTTTGCCCTACTAATTCTTTGACACAATGTTATTAGCTCGTCTGATGAGCATATTCTCTACCCTTAGTTGCACATCCAGACCACCTATGTTTATTTTTACTAGGGCTGCAAATGAACCGAGCGCTCGATGAGCTGCTCATAACTCGGCTCGATAAGAGCTTGTTTATGTTCGTTCGATAAGGTAAAAAATGAATTTGAACACTAGATAAATACTCGATAGCTTAATGAACGAGTTTGAACAACATGTCGTTCGGTTCATTTATGTTCATGAATATTATCGTTTAAGCACGTGAACAAGTTCGCTAAGAAGCTCGATTAAAGCTCAATTAGAATTTTAAAATAAAATACTATTAAATCTCTAATTTAATAATTATTTTTACTAATTTAATATTTTTAACTTTAACCGTTTTCATTATACATATCTTTAACTTTATTTTTAGTAATCTAACTAATTAGAAATATTAGTTATATATTTATATATATATAATATTTAGAAATCTTAGCTAAATAAAAATATATTATATACTACCTTTTCCTCTCCCACCTCAATGGTTCAATTCCCGCCTTAGTTTCCCTTCCCGTCTCATCTTTCGCTCAGGTAAAAAAAAAACTGATGGTTTAGTCCTACACCGTGAAATGAAAGAAAATTTTGCTCTATATAATAAGACATAGTGGCAAGGTGATTGAAGCGTGGCGGCTGGGCGCTATAGGCTAGGCAGGTGGTTGTGCATCGTCTGTTCGATTAGAGTCTCATTTACGCTTTTTGAACGAGCTCAAACATGTTAATGAACTGAACTCGAACAACTTATTTTTAAACGAGTTCGAGCTCGAACACCTATAAAAGAAGCTCGACAAGCTTCATACCAAGCTTGAATATGTTTTTGACAAACGAGCTCGAACTCGAACATGCCTAAGCTCGGTTTGGTTTGGTTCGGTTCATTTGTAGCCCTAATTTTTACTCTCCTTATCGTTAGTATATGTGATTCCGACGCTTAGTCTACTATAATCATTCCTTAATTTATACTTCATAATTTTGCCATACATCCATCTTAACATTTTCATCTTTTGTCATACTTTGAGATATTAATGACTTTTTTATCGCTCAACATTTTGATTCTTACAATATTGTTGAGTCGTTGACCTAATTGTGGTTTTATAAAATTTACCTTTTAAGTCTTTATAATTTTCTCTTGTCACAAACACTCTTTATTCACTTATCCATTTTAATCATTGAGTCTTAACTCTAGAAGTTATATAAATTATTGGAGGTTGTAGCTTTTGCTTTACTCGCTCTCTCTTTTCTATAATTCTAGCTTTTTTATAATTATTATAAACCTCAATGGTATTTAATTTTTGGTATTTTTTAAAAGCACATTTTTTTCTTTATAACCCTTTGTAACTGCTCACTCCACCACTAAGGCTTCGTTTGAGACGGCTTTCTTTCTGCTTCTCAAAGCAGCTTTCTAGTACAAAATAAACTTTTGTACTACAAAGCTGCTTTGAGAAGCCGAAAGAAAGCCGTCTTAAACAAAGCCTAAGTCTCCTTATACAATATATTTCTAGATTCACATAAAACTCTACAACGATCCTCTTAATGGAACTATCCATCTTATCTCATATAGGCTTGTCTCAAATCTCAATTAAAGAATTCTTATTTACCTTTCTTAGCAGTATATATTGAAGATTAATTTCTCACATTTTAAATTCCACTTTATCATAAGGTCATAAATTTTTTCTTGTTTTCTTTGTACTCTTTTGGATATGTGTATATCGATAACTATTATTTTATGTTGTGTGGTTAAGCTTTCTCTTGAAATGACCTTAAAATTTTTGCAAGGAGATTTTTCATTTCTTTTAAGTGAAGAAATTATTTGTGATTCAGTGACTCCGCTTTTATAAGTAACCAAGTGTTTTTTTTTGTTTCTTAGAGTACATGTTCTTTATTACAAGATCACGTACACGTACTACCGTGAAATTAAGTATAGTGTCTCACTGTCTCCCATTGCATTTTTATCTCATATTCTATAATCACCTACTTAGCTGAATTCTCTTATAATCAATTTAACTATAACCTATTTAATCATTTAAATCATCTCCAATAACTATTCCTTCTTCAGCAAGTATACATTGTTGCATTTCATAAAATTTTCTTAAAAATTAATTTTTTAAAATAATCTTCTAATACAACTTGAGGAGTTTAATCAATAATGACATTCTGATTTCCTCGTCGGTAATTATCTTAATAATAATCACCCTATTAATTTCAACAATTTATCTTTCAACTTTTCTTGTCTACTAGCTTAAAGTGCCTGGTCCCATTTCTATCATTAACATTTTCAAGGTACAATAACTTATGAGATTCCCTAGTATCTTTAGTTTTTCCCAATAGTTTTATATAAACAAGTGATATTTATTCTTCTTATTAGCATCTATCAATTCTGTTGCTTTCCTATTCCAAGTTCTTAAATTTCATATAAATAATCTAATCTTTGACATACATATGTTATTTGATTGACAGCTGTTTCAATTGCTATCATGTTTCATAATTTGTATTATCTTACGGTTTTTCTATTGTTTCAATTCTCTCAATCAGCCCGCAGGTCTTTGAAGGCCATCCATTCATTGTTGAAGCTGGAATAAGCTTGGGTGGAAAAGATGTCAAACAAGTATGGAACAGATTTATTAGTTATTTGATTTTAAAATGCGCCATGGCTTCTTTTCTTGCTGAATTATCCCATCGCCTACTCTGACCTTGCAGATTAGCTGCTGTTGTTCTCGTTCCAAACAACAGTTTACTGTTCATTTAAGATGATAAACACAAATATAATAGTGCCCAGGGTTGTCTTGGCATTCTACTTCACCGCCTTTTGAAGCTTTTTAGTAAAACAATAAGTATTCAAGTGATTTTCCTGTAGTGTTGGTTCAGGCTTGTAACTCCTTACTAAATATCCAATTTCTTCTAGCATCTTCAATTATTTATGCTTTTTTACATATCACAAATCTGGTATATTAGACTTGAGTCCTTAAAGCAGCCTAATGAGCAAGTCCTTGAACCTTTGTCAAGTCCCAGCCTTCCATAAATCCCAAAGCCAGTCATGCTGGCCAGGCCAGTTTTTAATTCTGCATTCTAGCACTTTCTTAGAAGTTTGTCTTGGTTAATTGATAGCTCATACAAGTTTGTCTTGGTTAATTGATCGATCTCTATCATTTGACTTTAGGGTGTCAACATTTTTCGCTTCGCAAATCGCATTCCACTTCTTTTTGAGCAAGGTGCTGACGTGGTCACAAGGACTGCTTCAAAGAGAATCAAGTTTGTTCTTCTGTCCGTGGGATCCTTTTTCAATAAACTATAGTTAAGTATCTTTCTGACAATGTTAATTGTTTCTTTTTGCAGTTGGAATAGCTATAAGATTAATCAGATGCAGGATAAAATAGGAGTTTTTGTAAGCATAGTAAGCACAAAAATACCCTTCAAAGGAACCGGGAAGGAGTATATTGGTGATGATATCACTGAAATTTCCTCTGCTGTTAAGGTAGCTGAATTTTTTTTTTTTTTAATGCATAGCTTCAAATGAACTATGAGAGCTTACATGCAACAATTGTTAATGTGCATGCAGTCTTCCATTCAGCAGTGTTGTAATCAACTTAAATCCAAGATTATGAAGAAACTTCAGGCTCGGGAAAGGCAAGATCGAAAACGGAATTTAACCAGGTTAAACAAAAGTTTTTTTATGACACTAATGTGCCTTCTGATCATATATTGCTGAGAAGGCAATGTTTTATTTGTCAAGTTGTGGAGCCTACTTTTTATCTTAAAAAGTAATGCGCTATATATACTAAGGCTTCGTTTGTGATGGCTTTTTTGTTGCTTCTTAAAGTATCTTTTTAGTACAAAAATTAAATTTTTATTCTAGAAAGCTGCTTTAAGAAGTAACAAGAAAGCCGTCCCAAACGAAGCCTAAGTCACGGGTTGCTTTCCTGTTAAGGTTGATGCAGAGGTTGGAAGGGGGTGAAATGCTCCCGAAAGGTATCCAATATCTGTGGTTATTTCATTTATGTCATGTTGAGAATTTTATTAATTTATTTCCTTAGAGGGTGAGAGTGAGAGTGAGAGTGAGAGAGAGGGCTGATGTAAGATAAAATTATGGTTGTATTCTATCCACACTAAAACCACAATAATCTACTGTGGCGACGATAGAGCCTACTGAAATCAATGGGATGAAACCACAATAATCTTATGTTTGTTGTTTGTATTGGTCTTCTTTTATATTTTCTGTTCATTGTTTTCACTCTTTGGTTTATTTACCAACAGCATTCTTCAAGATAATTATTGCAGCCACAATTTGGTAAAATGCAGGTACATACCTGATGCTTCAAGAGCTGTATATCAAATTCTCGAAGAAATGACACGTGATAATGAACCAAAGCGTCAGCGCTATGACGAAAAGGATGCTGAACTTCTAGATAAAATAGAATCTGAACAAATAACTGAGAAAACTCTTAGGGATAATCTAACCCAGCATATTGAGAAGGTTTGGCTTAAACTTACCCTCATTTTTTGTTTTAAAATAGACTCTCTTTATAGTTCTCTCTCTTCATGTAAATTGTTTTATATATCTCTTTAGGGGCGTCAATTTTTGACCCGACCAGAAAAAATTCGGGTTCGGGTCAACCCGTTTGTGAAACGGGTCGGGTTGTGGTTCAATAAACTGGCCCATTTCAAAAATCGGGCTGGGTTTGGGTTGAACCGGGAACCCAAAATTGACCCGGAAATGGCTCTGCCCGGCTGCCAACATCGACTGCCCGGTTGCCCAACGAGTAAAGTCGCGTCGCGTTGCTTTTGCCGTTCAGGAATCGCGATGTGCCAGGCTGCCAGCGCTCCGTTGCTTCACCGTTCGCGGTTCACGTGCTAGCGCGGCAAGGCCCGCTTCAGGTTCAGTCACGTCGCGTCGCTTCGCCGCTCGATCGCGTGCCGCGGTGTCGCTGCCGCCGCGCCTGTTGCCGCTTCGAGTTTAACTTACTAGTTCGGGTTGTGTCAACCCGACAATCCGCGTGGGTCGGGTCTGGGTTGAGATAGCCGACCCGTTCGGGTTGACCCGTTTAGAACTGGGTCAATTCTGATTCGACCCGAACCCAACCCGTCGACCCGGATTGACACCCCTATATCTCTTAAAAGATTCATGCAATAGAACCATAATTTTTACATTTTTTTTCTTTGTAATCCCATCAGGTGGATTATGAGATGGCATTGGAGTATGCGACACAAAGTGGAGTAAGCGAGGAACCTCGGGAAGATATTTATTTGAATGCACTGGAAAATTTGCCAGATTTTGTTGACTTCCACAGCCCGGTATTTGTTCTCAGATTAATTCCATAGGTAAATTCTTGAATCTATTTGCCCGTTTATTAATGCATTCCTGTTTAACTTTTTCCAAAGAGAATAACTCTGTGAAGCTTATCATCATTTCACCTGTAAATTAAAACCAGCTGAAAATTCTTCTGGAATTGGGAGCTACTTAAGTCGTTATTGAAAATAATAAGAATTTATTAGAAATGAAAGTGATTTAAAATATCTGTGTTAACAATTATTTAAAAAGTTTTGCATAAAGGTTATTAACATTTCATTTACAGCTTGTAAACAAAGAATGGAGAACGAAGATTCCTATTGTTGGCTTTAGATAGTTGGGATAAAATAAATGAACATAATGACGATTGGTTGATATAATGGAAGTGACTTAGGCTTTTAAACTTTCTAGCTGAGTTCGGGGGGAGATTTAGGTTTCGTTTGTGACAGTTTTCTTATTGTTTTTTAAAGTAATTTTTAGTATAAAATTTTTTTTACTTAAAAATTGCTTTAGGTTTCATTTGGGACGGTTTTCTTCTTACTTCTTAAATCGGTTTTTTAGTAAAAAATAATAACTTTTATACTAAAAAATCGTTTTAAGAAGCAACAAAAAGCCGTCTCAAAGGAAGCCTTAGAAAGCAGTCACAACGAAGCCTTAATAGAATAATAGTTCCCATTTCTTTGCAGTATTGAAGCAAATTTTTCTCCAACTTTTTCATGAATTAGGATTAAGAAACTGAAAAGACACAAGATTTGGGAGAATAAAAGAGCTTTATCAATTTAGTTTGAAGGAATAGGATTTGTTTGAAACGTTTTCAGATTTGAAATTCCCCATTGATTCCTAACTAACATGACAAAATGATGAAATCTTAGAACTCGTCCTTCAATCGAAACTTATTTTATAACTTAAATGCAATAAATGTGCATTTAATGCAATGATTTTTGAAATAAAATCCGGTGATGTACATGGAAGCTCTATCAAGAGTTTTACAGATTGCCTTTGAGCTTCTCGTCTTTCTTCTGTGTAGAGGCTTCTTGTTGGTAAATTTTCTCATAATAAAGAGAGACCAGTTCTTGTCTGGCCGAGCTCTTATCTTCTGCAATGGCTTTAAGTTGCAAAAAATATGCATGTTATTTTAAATGCCTAAAGAGTATAGGGGTGGAAGAGAAGCTTGATCTTAATTGATCTCTTGATGAATTGTGCTCTAAAAGACTTGACTGAGCCACTCTTAACAAGAGGAGAAATTATTTTGTGCAGACACTGGATTGTCCGGAGGCAAATTAGAACTCAAATCACCCAGTACACAGCGATATCCAGCAGCGGTACACAACAAACGGGTCTTGTGGTACATTTTGATTGCCTCCGGATGACGAATAATTATTAGGTGCGGAGTGCATACGGGGAGAGCACCGTCTGCACAGACACAGGGTACCAAGCGGTACCTAGTGGCACCGAACGGTATCTAGCTGGATTTTATATTAGTGTGCAGACGGTTCTACCCGTTTGCACTCCGCATCTAATAATCTCTCCCGGATGATGTCTTTATCCGCACAGAATAATTTTACCAACAAAAGAGACAATCAATGAAGAGAGATTAAGAGGTGACACTCCAAATAGATTCTTTATGAAATTTCAATCTGATAAAATTTTAACTAAAATTTTGATACTTATGCTCTCATTTTGATATATTTTTATTTATGTTGTAGTTATTTGATTAATTTGTATTACTTTTATTCTAATTCATTCTTAAATTTAAAATTTATTAAATAATTATCTGTGATACTCATTAAACTTTTATTTTCTTCACACATGGTGCTATTATGTCACAAGTCCTAATTGCCTCATTTTTTTACCATTTAAATCTATGTTTTTTTATGTTCAAATAATAATAATCATTTTGATAATAATTAGATGAGAAAAAGATTAGATTGGTCTCTTATTGTTTTTGTAAAGGATCAAAATGATCCATAATTATATAAAATTATTAATTTGGTCTCTTAACTCTTTAAATTAGGATCAAATTAGTTCTTTCATGAAATCATTTAGATTTTTATCTGATAATTAGATTAAACTCTTCGCTAACAAAATACAATCCAATAAAATCTAAATTTTAATAACAATATCTAAATTTTCATTAACCAAATATTCCCATAGAATAATTACATTGCTAACAAATAAGTATTTTAATTAGAAAAAAGATATTTATTATATAAAAAAGAACTGAAAAAATATAAATAAAATATAACTGAAATACGATGGCTGAATTCTCTCCTTTATCAGTTTGACCAAAGAGAAAACGACATGTCATTAGCTCTGAAAAATAATACAGCTGATTTTATTAAAGGGACTGAATCGGACGAATCTCAGAATAATAAAAGCCGAACAGAATAGAAGTGCTCTTCTGTAAGGCTTCGTTTGGGACGGCTTTTTTTCTGCTTTTTAAAGCAACGGCTTTTTTTCTGCTTCTTACAGCAATTTTTTAGTAAAAATTCTTAATTTTTCTACTAGAAAGTTGCTTTAAGAAGCAATAAGAAAGTTGTCACAAACGAAGCCTTAAATTTGCTGGAAATTAGCTGCATTGCACATTTATTATTCTTCTTCTCTCAACATCATCACCATATTAGCAAGAAAAAAAAGGGCTATTCTTTATGGATCAATCTTGTAGCACATCCTTGTGCAACAAAGATCACACCTTTTGAATTTTCATTTTTGTTGTAATGTGAATGTCAAATATTTAGCTTTGTTTTTGGACAATTTTCTTTTAATATAAACATTTTTTGAAAATATGAAAAAAATAATAGTCAAAAGCTATTCGAAACGAAGTCTTCAATATGAAAATATCATAGTGATAAAAAAATGAAAGAGCATAAAATAATGTGAAAGAAAAGCAGAAGAAATGATAACAAAGATGCTATTATCTATATGATTTGGTTTCAATGAGACTTATTATGTTTACAAGAGATGAGACATGATTTGATATACCATCAAAGAAGACATAAGAAATGCATACAAAGATGGAACAATCACAAACTTTTTCAAACTCAAGTTCACATTCTCGCCAACAAAGAGGATCACAAAAAAGTAAATGGAAGATGATTTACTTTCATTGAGATGTTGAATGCCAAGACGAAGTCAGTCAGAACCTGAGAACCAATATTCTAATCATACATCCATCTTTTCCACAAGAGATTATAAATCTAAGAGATTTTTGCTCCACATGATTTGATATACCCTCACGACAAGAGCTTCTTGAATCTCATTTGAAATTTTAAACTAAGATGATATGTTGTTGAATTCTCCAAAGCTTGGATTGAAAACCCTGAACTTAAATGATAGCTCTAAATAGCATCTAATTTTAGCTTATATCAATTCTTTCTATTCCATTATGATTGTTTACCTAGTTGATGATTGTGTCATAAGCTTTCTTGTTTATAAAATAAACTTCAAGAAATCCTAGCCTAAAGAGCAAGTATCATTTCTTATTCTCAAAACAAATTCTCGAGTCAAGAGAGTATATCATGAAAGCCTCCAATACTTAGCTTCTAAAACCCTAATCTATATAAACACCATACATAGGCACAAACCAAGAAGAAATATAGATCACACAAGAAATGAGGTAGATACACTTATTACCATCTCAATCCTTTGATTTGATCCTAATCAAGTTAAGAATAAGCTAAGCATCTTCCAATTAATATTGAATCATAGCTAACAATTTGCTCCTGAAAATTTTAATATTTAGAAATCTACCCAAAATAATAATAAAAATAAAAGCTCCTAAAAATCTCACATTTATTCATTTGTTAAGTAAAAAAACTCTTAAAGTTTATATATCTTGCAACCAACAACACAATTAAGAATTTTAGTTTTCAACAACAGCAAAGTAAAATATCAGCTTTTCAATCAAATGAAAAAAAATATAAAATACAGTGAAATAATCTTAGAATTATTTTAATTGATTTTGAAATTTGTTGATCATTAATAAGAAAATGTTTGAAAAATATAGTAATTATTTGTATGAATGAAGCATTGATTAGAATATGAGGTGCTTATAGAGTGAATGCAAATCTTTCCTTTGTAGTAGATCTGTCTTTAAGGATAAAAAATAAGTTGTTATCATATTGTCTTTTCTTAATGTCATCTCTTGATGGCATGGATCTTATAAATAATTTTTCTTTAAAGTTTAATGGAAGATTAATTAGAGAAATTTTTATAAGATGCCTTAGGGGATGATAGAGAAATGTGGCTTAATCAAAATGATGATAGCAAGAACTTTATAGTATGGAGTGAGAGATGATGTCAATGGGATAGTCTAACTAAATCATTGAATATGATGAGTTTTTGTCTTCATTTCGGATAGTTTTCTTATTGTTTCTTAAAGCAGTTTTCTAGTACAAAAATTAAAATTTTTATACTAGGAAGCTGCTTTAAGAAGTAGTAAGAAGGTTGTCCCAAATGAAGTCTTTATATCATTAAATTAACTTTGTAATAAGTGAAAATAAAGTTTTGATTGATTTTTTATGTAATTTAATACTTAATTTGACCAAAATTTGATTATGTTTTCTGATCCAGAGTTTTCCCATTGCTAAGTTTTACACATAAAAAAGAGGAGGAAATGTTAATTTTTTTGTAGAGGAAGTGCACCAAGTGCTTGAAAATCTCGATTATCAAAAATAAGTTTGCATAATCATTTTAGTAGGATTAAAATCTTACTTTTAACATCTCCTCACACATTTAACTTTTTTTAGCTCTAGAATTTCAGTTATATTCTTTATTACATGATAAATTGCCGCTCTTTGTTCTCTAGCATAAGTAAGCCCAAGCTCTCCCCTAGCTAGTAAATTTGTTGTACTTGCAATACATGTCCCCACATCTCTTTAAAAATAAAGAAAATTAATTAAAAAAAAAAACAAAGCATTAAGCATATTTAGCTTCATTCCCTTAACAACAAACCAACCATATGCTTGTTAACTTGTATGATAATCTCCATCATCAATTCATTTTTTTCTTGATTCATGAACTATATCAATGATGATTAAATTACCTATATATCAAGAAGGGGACCTATCTCTAACCTATTGGAAACTATAGGAGAATGACATGAGAAGACATAGAGGACATGATGTGGACTCCTACAATAGTGTACCTAATTTCTTTAATAGGACCACAATTTCATATCAAAACTAGAGAATAGAAATGAAAGTGACTATCAAATCCTCAATCTTTTCCTCCTAAAG